ATTCATGGTTTAATGTTTTAACCTAGATTCACACGGGCCGGGGTTTGATTCTTAAGCCACTAGGTCACTCCTTAACCTCCTTGCTTAGCCAGTAGCAAGTCCGTTAAAGAAAGAATCTTGAGTGGTGTGAGGCTAGCGAAAGAAGCAGAAAGAAACAGTACTAGCGCTGATGTTTGAAAGTTCAAGCCTGACGCCAGTGAGAACTCAAAGGAATACATTTTCTTTTCAAAAACACTGTGAAAAGTGGTATGATTTCATTTTGTCTATAGGTTATTCCGATTGGCTTATAGAGCATATAATGCTGTATAGTGTCATCAGTTTATCTGCTGGGAAGCACCTTTTCGTATTGCTCCTTTCATTTTCTTGTCAATCTTTTGTGATACTGCCTTTCCTTTGAATGGGAGGCAAATGAACACTTTCTTCTTTTCAACTGTTGGATGCTTGCCTTTCTCATCTCTTTCTTTGCTCTAATTTAGGATAAATCCTTTTAGATACCCGTTTTCCTAAAGGCATTTTTCAATAAATTCAATAATTCTTCTTCTACCTTTTTAGGCGAACATAACTTCCTGACCCTGTCGTACAATGTCCTTACTAATCCCCGCTTATAGCTCATAGGGCAGAAGCTGTTGTAGTGAAAGTATTGTCCAGTCCAAGTTTCTTTTCTGTAGATTAACTTTTCGACCGTTCCATCATTTCTTCTTATTACATTTAGATCCAGGAAATTGAACTCATCGTTGTGTTTGTATTCCATGGTGAATTTAATGTTTGGGAGGATCTCATTGATTCCCATACAAAGGAGAAACAGTATCGCAAAATATTGTAAAGAGGATGAAAGGAGTAATGAAGAGAAGTCTCCCTGCAGCCAATCTGGTGACACTTTACAGCACTACATGCTTGCTCTATAAGCCAATCGAAACTGGATAAGTACCCTGCTGATGTTACCTCCAACTGCATTTATAAATTTACGTGCACCTGTGGCAGCAAGTACATTGAAAGGACAGAAGCGAAGAAAGGTTTCAGAGCGTATTCCAAGAAATTTATACTTTAAAAGGAAGCAGATATTTACAAAGTGCAATTACCAGACACCCACCCTGTGGATACGGGTCACTTTTTCGAGATTTCCAAATCCTTCAAAATATTAGGCATACAAAGGACAGCGATTCTACTACGATTCGCTATAGCAATTGTAATCGAACGTCTCAGACCAAACTTATGCACACAGAAAGAGAGTGTAGTCAATCTCTCACTCCTTTGGTAACCGTATTACTTTCATTACACTGATTAGTCAAATTGATCAACTTTGACCTTCTTGAGTTGCCCTGTTGACACTGTTGATTAGATTTTTCTGTTTTCTGACTTCTATCACACCCCATTTATCGTTTTCATAGTCTGATAGCACATAAATTGGTGCTGACTTAAACTAAATATTGTAATACTTATATTCTGGATGCGTCCATCCTATAATGTTTTTTTTCTATTACCTTTCAAACAATTAAGTATGAAATGTTATTATTTATCACCATAGTAATTTCAGGTAGTTTGCAGCTGATGAGAACCTGTGAAATAGAATGATACCATTTTATACTGCAAATCTGGTCTTTATTTCTTTGTCGAAATTCATCGAGGGAACTAAATGTATGAAATATTCCATAAATTCTTACCCAAAGTGGTTAGGTAAAGGGGTAGAAAAGTCAATCAACAGTTCCAGGTTGGCACATCTCGTCTATACGAAGAATCACAACACTGATGAAAATTCGTCCTTTATAATTCTATACAAGGAAGGTGACAACACCTCAATTTGTAGGCCAACGATTGCTAAGCGTAACTGCGATAATCGCCATAGACACTTTTCAGTCCAATCTCTTTGTTCTAAAAAATATTGCCCAACGCTTCTGATATTTACCAGATAACTATATCAATAAACAGTAGAATCGAAAACTCGTTAGGGGACACTTTCGTCAAGAAACCTCTTCTAAATATTGTCATTTCCTTCCATAAAAATTTGTTTATTACATAATATCACGCAGTGCAACAGTATTGTTTACTGGATGACAAAGTTTTAAACACAATTTAGTATTGTTCATAATCATAACAAATATAATCACACGACTTCGGAACTTTCGTTTTATACTTTTCTTTATGCTTTCCTATTCGTCGTCGTAGAGGTAGTAAATTTTCCAGATGCCCGGGTGAACAGGCATTGATTCATTTCTACTGCGCGAGCTTCCGTTATCAGTTTCTGTCTCTATCCAGTTGCACGACATTTTAAGACAGTCATTTTATCCCACTCTATTGTATGGTTGTGTGCAATTGCGTGTAGTAAGTGGTATAGCTGGACACTATTCTCTAGGTTTGTTATCTTATTCGGGTCAACTGATGTAGATTTTGCCAGATCTTTTTTGCTCCGTGAGTCTAACTGACTAACTGACTGACTCCGTTCTACTACTTCGTCTACGTGTCTGACCTGAAAATCATTCCAGCAGGGTATTTGATAAACTAAAATGTTTTGGCTAAATTGCTCCACAGGATCCTTTAATTGATAAACCTTGTTTCTAATAGAGATTCTTCATGGTTGAATGCCACTTTTACTTCTCCTCAGAAGTTCCTTTTTTCTATGGAACTACTACTGATGATGATTTAAATTCCTTATTGTTGGTGTTGTCATCATCATATGGTCTAATGAACAAATGAGTATGAAATTACATGCTACTACAGTGCTCAAGTTTTACACATACACTGATTTTTATTTTCTGTTTATAAATAGAGTTCACAGTTCCATTTTTCCCCATTTTTATTGATAAATGGCTATCATTACTACAAACATTTATTTATATTGTGATGAGAGCTGGCTGCTAGCCGAATTGGTAGACAGTAATTTACGCCAATGTTTATGTCCCCAATATTGATCTTGAGAAAAATAAAAACAAAGACTGATTCAACAACCAACCACAGCAGACTTTGCGTAGGTGGATACAATTAGCATATAGATGATCTGTTGCCTGGCCCTTGTCTTCTGTCGTCACATTTCGTGCCGCTGCCTACCGATAAATGGAAAGCCTATGCCGTGCAGTTTCTGATGGAGACATATGGATCTTAGGGTAGGAATTCGAGGCTTCTGCGCAGCTGAGTGGCGTTCAAGATCTGTCAGCGATGAGGCTGCTACTTGGGACGCTGCTGAGAGGTCGGGTGAACGCACCATGTGAAAGTGTGTCAAGAAATACCGACGAATGTGCGACAGGATCAGGCAAACAGTCTCCAAAGTGGGAAGAACCACATATGGTCATGTTGAGATGCGGTTACGCCGACACAATCGCAATGGTAAACAAAGAGAAACAGGTGAACATCGGCGAGCATCGAGATTCCAGACAGCATGACAAACGAACAAAGTCCCAAGAACCAAGAAGACCGAACCAACTTCAGTCGCAAGTCTTTGACGGGGGAACGAGTGTGGTGCTGCTAGCCAAATCAGTAGATAGTAATTTACGTCAATATTTACGTATCTAATATTGATCGTGAGGAAAATAAGAACAAAGACTGATTAAACAACCAGCCACAGCAGACTTTGCCTAGGCGGATACAATTAGCATGTACAATACACATAACCATCGCTAACCATCTCACTAAACCAGTAAGCATCAAGCTTTTTCAAACTGCAGAAGTGATGAAGATTCACATGTTAAATCCTGAACTCTGAATACAAAAGAAGCCTGTTCAGTCAATAAATCTACACTGGATCCCTTGCCTATCTTAACACCAAATACGTAATTTTTGTCTCTTAACTGTATCATTTTCTCCCCCACCCCTACCCCCTATGCAATCTCTACCCTTTATTACCACCTATATTAACTTGACTTTCGTTCGATTTTAAGTTGATTTGAGCCCTACTCAATCCCGTCAATTTTATATTACACCACTCAACTTACTTATTTAACTTTATTTTAGTTTTATACCTGATTAACGCTTTCTACATTACATAATTTGTCATCTGAAATTCACAAACCTAATGATACATCTCTGGGAACATTCTTTTTACGACTTGATCACGGACTGATATCAGTTGCAGAAACAGTGAAAACCAGCCAGGGAGTACTGGACAGCTGTCGTTTCATCCCAGTTTGGGAATCATCGGCAGTACGCACCCACCCCGCAAGGGTTCGAACCCACGACCTTCTGGTTACAAGGAAAGCTCGTATACCTTTCAGCAACTGGGAGCCGATCCAATGTTCAACCCATGAATTCTCACTTCTACCAATTTGTGAATAAGAGCGATCCCAACCAATGTCGTCGGTGGGATATCCATCCTCACACGTGACATCTGGATGGACCTCACTGGCCACGACCTCTCACTAGAACTCCAGGAAACTCCATCCTATAGCAAGTCACTAGCGAGCATAAGATTAGTTTTCTATAGTTTTGTTTGTATGGGTTAGTTTTGTTTTTACGAGTTGATCATGCATTGATATCAACCTACGACGATGGTTGCGGTCGCGCTAAGTCACGAATTGGTAGAAGTTAGAATTCATGGGTTGGCGACCATTGAATCGGGTCCCAGTGGCTTAATGGTATCCAAGCCAGCTTGCCTTGAAACCGGAAGGTCCTGAGTTCTAACCGTGGCTGGGTGGGTGCATACTTACGATGATTCCCAAACTAATTGGATGAAACAGCTGTCCAGTACTCCCTGGCTAGTTTTTAATGGTTCTCTAACTGATATCAATCCATGATCAACTCCTAAAAACAAAACTAACCCTTAAAAACCAAACTATAAAATTTATTCCCTTTGTTGCTAAGAGAAAATACTATTTATAAAAGTGCGACTGTAGAGCTTAAGAATGATATTGCTGAGAAGAGTGACTCTTCACTGGACATGGTTTCTTTTAAATGACTCAATTATATTTGTTTGTTTTAAGTGTAAACCTATTACTGTAAATTACCATATAGATGAGGTTCACTTTACTAGATGGTCGATTTTATTATAGATTATTGACAAAATAACAACTCACCAGTCTGTTTGAGTATCATCTATCACTAGAAGTATTTTCTGATGTTCTTTAGACGATATCTTCCCAGATATATTTTGAGCAGTTGAAGCAGCAGTATTAAAACCACGCATAATTGTATTCGATATCTGTCCAGTCAGACTACCCATTGGACCCATAAATGAAGCACCAAGTCCAACAGATCGTGCTGGTGAAGTAGGCGCACTTGGATATGCACCACGTCCACGACCTATAGGTCCATGAATGTAATTAGATCCACCTGTTGTTCCTGCTGTTGCTGTTGCTGTACCTCCGTAGACACCAGTCATATGATCAGCCACACCTGCTGCCGGTGGAACTTGTCTCATATCATAGTTTACAGGACGCGCAGAACTAAAGTCTTGTGGTTGATTTGAATAGCCTTGTACACCCTGTTGTCCTCCAGGTTGAATATTTGAACCAGGCTGTTGGTATTGCTGATACATTTGTCCCGGCTGTGTAGACGATCCAAATCGTAGAAAACTAGGTAATCCTTCTTGCATACGTTTGTCAGCTAATTCACCTTGTAGATCTCCTGAGGAAAAGCGCCTTTTCAAGTAAGTAATCATTCTGATTTTGCTTTAGATTGAATTCAACGATTGACTCATTAATCCAATTTTAGTTTAGTATTAGAAGGAAACTTTGTTTAACCCGTTCTTACAATGTCCACATAGAACACGTGAATTTCAGAGGAATTCCAAGTCAGAGTGAGTCAGAAAAGCCTATGATGCTATCAGAGGGCATTTTGGGTAGGTTAAATCAATACATTGCCCATTTATCGATGATTGGTTTAGAAATATATATACATAAATACACAACATTACAGTCTGCCAATAGACAATTACTTCCTTTAATTCTACATAAGAGAATCAGGAAATTAGAATTATTTGCTTCAAAAAGAGTCTGCCCTAAGTCTAATAGAATTTGACCTTAATGAAAAATGTATATATTTTACTAAGAGATGATTGGTTCAGAGGATTAGGCAACAACTTAGCCTAAATTGAAGAGTAATCCTTTGATTGGTAATAAATAGGGTGAGAAGATATCCTGTCTCAAAAAGAATCAATAGTAGTAGAACTCGTAGGTAGGTGAACAAACAGTACAACAAACAAATAAACATATTCGAAAGACAACGTTGACAACGTTATTTCTTGTGTGTGTGTGTGTATGTCACTAGAAGTAGTCAGTGTGTATAGCTATTTAGCTATTTAAGAACACGTGTTGCCCGTCAGCAGGAAAATCCGTTTTATAGTAGGGATATAGTTGGCAAATTGAATGAATTGATTTGAGTGAGATAAATATAACGGTTTATTGTTTACGAAAATCCGAAAAAAAATCAAAAGTGTATTTATGTACAACTAACAATTTGATATGTAAATTTTCGCTTGAATTATCACTTTTTGCCAGAAACACACCATTTAGGTATGCACTCAACTTTCCACTTTAAAATCTGAGCCTTATTAATTATTAAAAGACATTTACGTTATGTTTTAATTGAATTTTAGATTTTCCCGTCGATTGATTGGACCGAAGTGCTTGGTCTCAGGTTGACATGTCTGTTGGCTTCTTGTGCAGATGCTTCGACGATGTCTGAGCATTTAATTAGTATTCAAATGGTGGATGGTGACTAGCAGCGGAATCCAGGATAACGCGTATTTCGTCCTATTTGAGATTCGTTTTCTGGATGTATCTGCATTTCCCAGTGAGTGAGTGAGTGATGCTGTTCCCACCGAGGCCCATAGTATAAAACGCCAAAGCGTTATCCCAAAGAGGACGAATGCGCATCCTGGGTTCCACTGCTAGTCACCATCCAACGGTTAAATTTACGTTGTGGTTATGAAGAATTAGAGGAGAGCACTAAAAAGTGAGTCGGTGGCACAGTGGTTAGGACTCTCGCCGACCATGCACATGGTCCGGGGTTCGAGCCCACGCCGACGCACACCTGATATCTATGGTCGGCCTGCGAATTTTGGGCTACCGATATCCACGCTGAAAATTCCACACTTGTACCAAAAATACGGTATGGAGTCAAGCTGTAATCAAAAATAAAAAAATAAAAAAAAAAAATAAAAGTGACTTTTCTCACATCATCTGAATCAGTTGAAATTATCATTATTATTTTCTACGGTCTGTATTGCCGGATATATTTTTTATCATTATAATAATAATAATAATAACCTACTTTATTCTAAAAACAGACAGTACTTATAATACAGAATTGAATTCTCAGCATTCCTCACAAAATTGCATTTGGTTTACTTAAAATATAAGTTAAGATTAAAAATTAAAACAAAAGTAACCAAAGTGATTTGTCAACGTTTACGATATAAAGCCAAAAATATTCGAAGCACGAATTGAGAGTATTAAATACAATAATAATAATAATATGAACAACAGTCAGTTTGTTTCAAACAATATTGGCGTGTCAGTTTGAAAATTTTAGCGTGTTATAGGTTTTTGAATCTAATGTTCTGTTGATGAAGTATAGTGAGGGGAAATACAAGATTAACAATTATAACACAGCTTAAATTATGTTCACATTTATGAAAAATAAATAAATAAAAACAAAAAAATTGAGAGGATTATAAATATAAGAAATACAATAACAACAAAGGTTGATACTGTGAGGGTGGAGGAAGTGATTTATTTAGTAGTGCAAAGAAGGTTATTTAGTTCATGCCTAACACTATTTTCAACATTTCAAATACGTGCCAAATATGGTATAGTGTAATTTTTATACTTAGACGTACGTGCATAAATTATTCTGAAAAGACTTCTTGTTTTACCTGAGGTCTCCTCAGGTTGGAGCTACGGGTACTGCGGTGGATGCTCACAGTCTGACAAAATTCCTTTAGCAAATTTGTTTCATGAAGTGCCTCAAGTGCCTATCAGTGACAATGTCAACGATACGGCCTAACGGGATACAACCACTCGCCCTACTGACTGACAGTCTTCAGAGTTATACGAAGTATGACATAGTCGTTTTTAAGCAATCCAGGAAAGAATAAGGGTGAACAGTAAAGAAGAATAGGTAAGATGAAAGAATTGACAAACTGTAAGAGGAGGAGGGATTGGGTTATGCCTGAATGCCTTAACTTCTTAATGTAAAAAGGCAGACGAAATATTCTTTTAGAAATCGCTAAGACATAGGAAGACTAGGATAGGACAGAAGAAAGAATTAATCCAAGATACTTAACTTCAGACTTGATTTCTATATCAGTGTCATCAATTTTGCAAGGTTCATAGGAAGCAACAGCTTCAATTAACTTTCTTTTAAATCGAAAACTGGAATTAAAAGTCTGAAATATGGAAGGTCTTAGTTTAAGGACATTAGACGAAGACCATTTGCTAATTCATGATAGAAAGTTGTTCATCTTAGTACTGTCAAGTTGGGTGTGAACAGATATTGAAGTAATTAGATCATCGGCATACTTAGCGAAGTTCATTTCATCAGAGTGAGTTAAGTCATTCATTTCGTGCTTACTGCCTTTTCTATTCATTTGCGTTCCAAATGAAGCACAGGGCTGCTTCAAGCTCGAGCTTTGTAGCTTCAGTAGCAGTGGGGTTATGTTTTATGAGGTGAGGTGGCTAGCTTCACACCAGCCAACTACCTGTCTTTACCGAGCTTAGCAAGATTTAGGGGTGCGTCGACCCGAATAGCTTAGTGGCAACGTCTGTGACTACCGCGCTGGGTGACGCGGGTTCGAATCTGAGAGGGAATATGAATCTCTTCAAGCTTGTAGATAGGCCTTGCTGACTGTACGTCAGCGGGGTTCAGTGGTAGAATGCTCACCAGACATATATGTGTTTCGGGGCTCGATCCCTGGAAAATGCACCCCTAGACCACGGTAGGTTGGTAATACGATCGGTTAGGAGGGAAGATTGGGTGGTGTGAGGATGTGAGGCTAGCAACCCTCCTCCGTAAAAATAGACACTAAGTCCACTGAAAGTTCAAAGCTCTTGCATGAAGCAGCCCTTTGTTCCACTGGGAAGGTAAAATGATAAAAAAAAAAGTAATAAAAAAGCTGCCTTTATATGTGTCCGAATGGCTATGTGATCTACGACTTTGCATTGTAACTTGACGTTTGTCTCTTCACTCAAAAACCCATGCTCAATATGGCATAGCTGAATTTTTTTATTTTGCTGTACAAGCATAAATTCTTATGAAATCACTCCTGGTTTTACCCTTCATGAGATATGAGGAGAAAGTTTTGAATTAATAGGATGTTCGGTATTAGACAAGATAGGTCTAGCTTGCTGCTTCCAAGAGTTAAAACGTCTATCAACAACAATTTCAGTTAGCTGATTCAGTCGTACACCAGTAACCCTACTTATAGCCATCAATGTTCCATATATACTATTGTGGTGTGTGCCACTGACAAAATTTATCGGTAGTACATAAGGAGACGTTCATCGGCACACAAATATCAAAAAAACGGAAATAGAAGGAATGAACCACTACTGTGTCAAAGCATAGAAGACAAGAGATACAATACAAAGGATAAAAGTGACTCAACATGGAAGATATGTTCAAGAGAAGACTTTCAGATAAGGGTCACACAATTTCCCAATATATGTGTACAACGAATTGCAAGTAAGCATTCTGTCACCAAACACTCTTGCGTTCTGCGGTTACATTTGGTGTCCCTGACTTCAAATAAAAAAGGTTTCATGATCTTCAACTTTAAAAGAAGAAGATATACATGAGCCTATTGAGGGATTTTGAAGATGTTGCGGAGTTGGTGGGCCTTACCTTATGGCATAGTCGTTCTTGTAAAGCCCAGGGAAGAATAAGGACGAACAACAGAGAAGAACGGGAAGAATACATGTGCGTCGGTGGCACAGTGGTTAGGACTCTCGCCGACCATGCACATGGTCCGGGGTTCGAGCCCTCGCCGACGCACACCTGATATCTATGGTTGGCCTGCGAATTTTGGGCTACCGATATCCACGCTGAAAATTCCACACTTGTACCAAAAATACGGTGTGGAGTCAAGCTGTAACCATAAAAAAAATAAGAGAAGAGGTTGAGTTATGCCAGGAAGAAGTCTCAACTTCTTTATGTCATAAGTCAAATAAAAACGTTTCTTGGAAATCAATAAGATATAAGATGACCAACAGGGATTTGAATAGAAATTGATGTCAAGATGGAAAGGTAGTCGATTTACTCTCAATCACAGTGTCTTTGATATTACTAGAATCATAAGACTAAAATAGTCCACTCAAGTCTTGTTCACGTCTGAAACTAAGGTCAGCAGTTTGACATTTAGATGGATTTAGTTTAAGACCATTTAGGCGAGACCATTTGTTAACTTCAGGTAAGAATCTATCCATATAAGAAGAAGAATCCAGTGCAGAAACTATTGGGACAGAAATGGTCAGATCATTGGCAGCTTTGATGATGTTAGCTTTGGAAGAATACGGTAGGTCACAAACAAAGGAAGAAAAAAAGGAATGGAGAGAGAGAGAGAGTACAGCAGAGCCTAGAGGCACACCAGTTTCCATAAGCCAAGAAGTGGAAAGCTTCTCACGATGCTGTTTCCCATCTGAAAACAAGGGATGACAACCA